GATGGACAGTTATTATTGAATGAATGTGGGTTGTGTTAAAAGACTTGATTGATGTGGAAAACACGCTGAGGGCCACAAAGAGCTGGAATGGATCGGTCACAGTGGCACTGTTCATTCAATGATTGACAGGCGTGACCGATTCTGCTGCAAACAAAGTCCACTTTTTCTTTTTGGTATCTGTACGTCAGAGTACATTAAAAACACTTAAGTAGTGTTTGCATTAAGATGTAAACAGGTGATAGAGATCGCAGAAGAAATACAATATGAAAGTTAAAGACTGCAACTTTTGCAATAAGTTAGGTCTGCAGTTCGGTACCATCATAATTTTTTAGGAAACCTTCGGCCCATTTTGATGAAATATTAAAAATGTGATAATGGGATCTGGGGGAATAAAGTGTTTTCACAGTAAGACAATTAAATCAGAGTTCGAAGGTCACCTTATTAGGCTAATGGGGTTTGGCTTATTGTCGAGAAACATTTAATATGCATCTGTATGGGAGTACGATGAATGCTCCTGGACGTGGTTGAATGTGATACAGTCTTAACGTGTTCCATGAAATTACAAAAAGTGCAAAAATTGGATTATATTGCAGTTGAGGGACATATTGGCCAAGTCCCACTCATGACCTCAAACTAGTTTCCAGTGACCGTGGAGGAAAGCTACAACACTGTCCAGCAGCTGAACAACATGTTGGAGGAAAACCAATCTGATTGCATCCATAGGGGGGTTTTGTGTGTGTTTGGGAGGTCTGTGATAGACGTTAGACCAATGGAGAGGTCGATCCAAGCCTTCGATTGCCAACAATCCAATATGGGATACAACCAGCAGAGAGAATATAAATCCAAGTGTAGCTACATTACGTCCAGAGTATGTCTTGGCCCAATAGAAGTTTTCTTTCCATTCCCCCACTTCCCCTACTTCCCCTGGATTCAATCACACTCTTATCACCTATTTAAACTCCCGAGTATGATCAGCCGTTTTTAACCTCATCGCCTTTGGAGCTCTTAAAAAACGAAGCAGTGCCTTTTTGTCACCACATCAGAGGAATGACTTTTGCTTTCACAGTTATTTCATTTGATTTATTACCAACAGTGGGCCAAGAGGTCCAATAAACTATATCGAACACCATTGGAAGAACACAATTTAGAGTGAAAATGGAATAATTAAAACATACTACAACTTTATGGTGGCATAGTAGAGCTGCCAGCAACACTTAGGGTTAACGTTGTACGCCAAAAATTGTTAAAATATTATCAGACTGGCTAAAACATTTTGAGTTGCACGTTGGGTTTTGGGAATGCAAAATGTTTTTAAGAGGTTTAAGATACAACAAGAGGGCTTTCCCCAGACACACTGAGTTCAGGAGGGGTCCAAACTATTTGATTACCAGTTAGGTGCGGGCCTTCAGGGAGAGATCAAGTCTCTAAAACTCATGTTAAGAATGCCAAAATGTCCAGAGAGAGAGTTCTTTAGAGGCCGTACCTGTCAGCAAGTCTTGACTACACTTGTCAATATTTTATAATAACAATGAACCACATGTTGACGTGTAATGTGAAAGGGGTTGCTTGTAGCGACAAACCCACAGGGAATGATCTTCAGACCGGCCGTTTCTCCTCAAGGCTTGAGCAATTTTTTAAGGCCTTGTTCAGAATGTCAGAGCAAATTAGAAAAACAATTTTGATTTGAAAAGTTTTTGACGGTAAAACAGCGTAAGAAATGTTTTACATTTTGTGAATGCGAATCAAGCTAGATTTAGAGGTTGTTTAAATCACACTAGGCTAAGTGACTTTGGCTTCAAATAATTGTAAATGTTGCTCCTTGTAAATTGGATGTGTGCAACTTGCAACTTTTAGAGGTGATTATATGAAAGTGTGGTTTTTAAAGATCGTAGCACTGCCCCCAAGTGGCTGAAAAAAATGAAGGTAGCTTTAACTAATCGGTTTTTTTTGCAACCTGAATATGGAACATGTTGTTCATGAACTTTTGTATTAGGATTATCTTTTCTACTTTAATTTGTTGTAAAATTAATCCAAGATGGTTCTTTCCTACATAAATCGAACTTTTACCATTTCTTGGCTGACATGGCTTAAAGACGTTTTTTCATTACGGTGAACTGGGGTCTGAGTGTATCGTTTTTAAGTTTGATATCACACACTGCAAATAACAGTGTGTTAATAAAGACACCTTGAATATAAAGAAGTTTTAGTCTCCTAATGATCTGACTTAATTAGTGTACTCAGGCTGTTAAGAAAACCATTAGAAATAAGTTAACGCGTATCATTGGCTTTAGTTTTGTTCGCATATTTGTTAGTGAAAGGTCAGTGAGATTAGTCCATGTTACATGAGCAGCTGCAGAGACAGAGAGCTGCGACTGAATCTGTGGGAACCTCCACCTTATAACCTCAGGTGAGGCCACGAGGGCAGCGACGCAACACTGCACAGCGGATTGGATTGCATTCCTTCAAACACAAACACACACTCAGATTCATTGTGACAATGCTTGATCCTAAATATTTGGTCGCTCTGTCCAGCCTTCGAGACAATCGCACATACACGTCACCTGTTTGCATGCCACACACACACACACACACACACACACACACACACACACACACACACACACACACACACACACACACACACACACACACACACACACACACACACCACACACACACACACACACACACACACACACACACACACACACACACACACACACACACACACACACACACACACACACACACACACACACACACACTTTGGGGTGTAGGATGACACCTTGAACTGGCGTATTACCACATTGAAATATTTTCACTGCTTTGTAATGTGCACCGAGACAATGGCAGGCATGGGAACAGGGTGATTTATCTGAAGGGGAGGCAAATGAGGTAAGGCGACATATTTTAGAAACAAAAAAGCGCAGGAACACAAAAAATGTCAGATATAAACATAGGCCTAAGAAGTTTCTAAGAAGAAGGTAGGACAGTCTGTATGGGGTACGGGGTACTGTGTGTGTGTGTGTGTGTGTGTGTGTGTGTGAGGTGTGAGAATGCAGGAGCCACGAGCAGGTCGGTAACACGAGCCCCATGTGAAGTCTCAGCCACAGGAACTGAGCTCAGGAATACACTGAGTCATTCCTAAGCAGCCACAATAGATTCACATTCCCTAATTACACACACACACACACACACACACACACACATTTTCACACAACTCCGGCAACACACACACAAATGGAAAAGTCAACTTCCCTGACACACACATACCATAACAACCCGCATGCAAACACACACACTTCCTCTCGATCTATGCCCCCCTCAAGTCTTCTCACAGAGATTATGTGGCCCAGGAACGAGCTCGGACTCGCTGTGGGGAGACGGCGAGTCAAAATGACACCTTGAACCCAGAGGATCTGAAATATTAAAAAAAGAGCAATGGTCATCTGAAGAAACAGTCCCCAAAATGTAATGATTACAAGTCCATTTCACATTTAAACTGTAGATTACATTTTTTTTTTTTTTTTAAACGGTCTTCTTCTGAACCTTCGAGTTTGTCTGTTGACTCATTGGAAGAGCCAACAAACCATTTATCTAGACTCATTTTAACATTTCCACTAAATTGACAGCAATCCCATTTATTTCTTGATAATGAAGAACAATATGGTACAGTAGACAAAAATGTTATTTGAAAGCTTCCAGTCATTGGAGAAAATCCATGAATTTGTATCATTTTCTACTAAATAAGCATTCAAATTGGTTTCTTACCAGAGGTGCTGTTTGTCAGCAGGCAAGCCAGGCAACTGCTGGGGGCACCTGGCCAAACTTTAAACCATAGCAGTGGCCCAAAATGTGTAAATTTTGCAACGACAGTAGGAGAGCCCCCTAAGAGAGCCCCATCTGATAGTGCTCAGGTTGAGGCGCTGGTATATGTCACAATATTCCAGTGTTAACTCAGTTTTTTTTAAATTAATAATGGCGATGACGCTGGTTTGTGGTGCCCCGTGTGAGTTTTGCCTGGGCCCCAACAGAGTCTAGAATCGACACTGTTTCATACTCTCCATTTCAGTTGAGCAGACATCCATCTCTCTCCACATTCGCCCTATGTAGGACATACAAGGCTTAATTTTGATGCGGCTTTATGGGCCATTAAACCATGATTCAATCCATCCAGTTTTTGTATAAACGGGGGGAACAAAACTTTTCCCAATTGAATCTTCAGTCAAGTAGAAACATTTACTGCTTCAAGACCTTTAAGTAATTGAAGAATAAATGTTTTCAATCATGTTCTCAGATAGTTTTATGGTAATCAGAGAACTTTTTCAGCTGAGTTGTCACCTGTATGGAACCATTAACTGACAAACTCATTCTCAGATTTTAGGATCATGAGGGCCAATTCTCTGAAACAAATCAACATATTTTGGAAAGAGTATCAGGTCTGGCCGTAACCAAACATAATAAATCAAAAATGATGGCCGGGACTAATTGGTTCATTGAGGTTGTCTCCCAGCATATGTAAACAGAAAACAGATGTCTTAAAAAATAAAGACATGACAAGATGCTGGCGTGCACTTGACTACAAATGAGTCAAATGAGAAGGCATTCTGATGTGGTTACATTTGACTCGATTTTGTCAAATTGGATCAAATTGGAGGTTAAATTCTCCTTAATGTTCTGGATTATCCTGCTGATGACCTGCCAGATGGATCAGACCACAATAATGAATCATCAAATATCAATTTGTTGAGCTTGCAACGGAAAACGAGACAACAGCAACTTTTTCTTTTGAGCTTTTCGTTGTGTGCTGTTTTTTTTATTAACATTTCAAACCTACTTCCTGAGTTCTAATCTGCTCAAACCCTGACTGGATTTATTAAATCTAACATTTTAAGCTGACAGAAACATTTAGAGGCATTTTCAAGTGCTTTTAGAAAAAAGTCTGTTTTTTTTATAACCTTGGATGAAGTTCCCAAACAAAGAAATAACACACAAACACGTTCAAGTCTGTGAAATAATTTAGTGGGACAAACAATTTTTACATTTACATAATTTAACTTATATGTCATGATTCTTGTTGTTTATGCAGAAACATCTTCTGTAAGGCATGACATGGTTATTGCAGCATTGATGTGATGTTTTCATGATACTTGTATGAGAATATAACCGTGTGGTCGCCACTCAAGAGATGGGCAAGGAAATACTGCATAGTTCCCAAGCTCAAAAAAAAAATAGAGAAGACATTTGTAGAAAGTTCCCAGGCTGTCGGGGAGTCTTTATGGAGTGTAAAGTGTGTGTTTCAGAGGCTCTTCTTCTCACACTCCTGTACCCCCCCCCACCCCTCCCCCAAGGCTCCAGGACAGCTCTCATAGGAGGGAGGGAAGAGGATGAGAGGGCGGCTGAGCATCCATCAGCCCAGCTCGGAGTGCTCTGTCTGGGCTCGCTGGGAAGGCCGGAGGGCAGGCAGTCATGGAGCCCCACCCCCCCTCCAAAACATCTCTTAATCTTACCTGATAATCTCACTATTTCTCCTCTTCTCTTGTCAGTGTCTATGACACACAATTATCTTTTCAAACCTCTTTTTAAAATGTTTTTCTCTTAGGTTTACAAAAAAAAAAGCAAGGGAAGATTTTTTGCTTTTTAGCGTTCGAGATTTCTCCATTTGTTTTTTTTAAAGAGAGAAAGAAAGGAGGCTGGAAAAAGGAGCAGATGTGAAAGAATTCACGTATTTCTCATGTGGATCTGGCCTATATCCTCCTGGATCCAAGTTGAAACCGGGGCCAGCAGCGTCAGTAAGGATGAGTCATTGTTTCTGAGATTGCTTTTCTTTCAGAAAGCCAAAAAAAAAATTAAGAAAAAGAAAGATCCATTGTTCTCTCACGCCTGTGCAAATGGTGCAGGACTTACTTGGCTTTCTCTGACCTGCCTTCTTAAAGCTGACGAGGTAAAGGTGCATTTCTCTCTAGCTGGTGGCTTCTGTTCCCCCTGGTCTACAGGGGTGAGACGGTGGAGGAGGAGGAAGGAGTTCAGTTGAAGAGGATGGAGTCAGGGTCTCTGTTGGCGATCTGCGCCATGTGTTTCAAGATGTCTTTCTTAGTGATGATTCCCAGCAGCCTCCTGGACACAGAGAGAGAACAGAACAATGAAGAGGATTACCTCAAGTCATACTTTGATTGCTTCGTCATGGAAAGCTGCGGTGGTGACAGAAAGCAGAGGCGCTCGCACATCGCTTGGAGGTCTGCTTTTGACATTTTGGCAGTTTTACGATGCTCTCAGAGGGAAACTGGCTCGCAGCGGGAGATGAAAGAAACATGAAAACACAGTAAACAGGGCGGGTGCTAAAGAAATACAAAGGCTCCGACTGCACTAAGGCTGATTGCATACGACACTGAGCTCACACTCACGACAGTTGGTATGAACAAAAGTTAAAATCCAGCTCCTCTGGGGTTTTTTTTATTTCTAAGAACAAGAGCTGAGAACAGTCTAATAAATCTTGAAAATGAGCTCGTAGGCAGATCGCACATTTATCACAATTGGGGTAATAAAAGTTGGAACACAACAGGAAGTAATTGTAGTTTGACACACAAGATGTGGGCAGAAGGAACACTTAAGTATATCCTCATACGAAGTCATTTTAAGAGCAACACAATTAAACGAGCAATTAAATGGTTTTAATGCTAAAGCCTGATTTAGCGTGGTAGTAGCCCATAAATACTAATGTAGCTAACATACAACTTCTTTAAAGTCCAAATGAAATAAAACATAATTTTCCCAGTTTTAATCCTGTGTTTCATATGAACAGCGTAAATACAACTCTACAGCCTGTTGTGGAGACATCGTCTTGGCGTAAAATTTATTTATTTATCGATTTAGTATTCAAATCTGAGACACAGTTTTGGTTAGACGATTAAAGCTGCTTAACATGAGACAACGATGACACTGATGACAATACAGCCAAATGTTACATCAGTCTGTTCTGTTAGATCGACTTTGAAACAAATATTTGAAGGTGGGAGAGTTTCATATTGTTGCTTTAAGGCTTCCTGGCCAATCTTTAAAATCTTGTCAATAACAGGTTAACAGAGTATGATGTTCCTTTGAAGGTGCACTATGGAGATTTGGTGATGAAATGTGAAAGTTGGAGAAGTGAAACAATTCTATGCTATATTTTCTGAACTGAATACACAAACTTTATTCAAAGGAAAATATAGGTCCCTGGTCCCCCTAGCTTAAAAGCTACCACATGAGTTACGGTTTCACTTTTGCGGACCCCCCACCATAACTTCTCATGTAGCATTTTATCTTCAAACAGTGTTACTTCCTCTGAGGACAGTTTATGTATTCACTTAAGAACATATACAACAGAATCTGTACACTTCTCCAACTTTCACATTTCTCTTTCAAAACTCCATCGTGCACCTTTAAGGCGTTTTAATGTATTCTGAGTACCATTGGCAAGATAAGAAAATCATCAACATGTTTCAGGAAACCAGCTGTGGTCCATTCAGATTCACTTAAAAACATGTTTAAGTCCATGGAGAGAACCAGGAAGCTGGTTCAGAGAACCACAAAAAGAGGAGGCACATTCACGAGTACTGAGAAACGGACTTTTCAAACATTTCTTGTTAAAACAACTAACAACATCATTGTTTATGAAATAAACAAAGGAGCTTTCAAATTCTCCACCAAATAGGCCGTGTGCTTCTTAAAGGGGGGCACAGAGAGTCCCAGATGTGTTCATTGGATTCGTCTGTTGTTGATTAAACTCTGCCCCGAACAGTTTATCAGACACGACTGATTCATTCATTCTTTGGAGTCCATCCGACAGGAATGGGAAAACAAATATACACAGCAAAAAACATCTAATTCAAAAAAAAAAAAAAACACATTTCCTATGTTTCCTATTTTGAAGGCTCACGGATGGTTCTGTGTTTCCTGTCGTACTTTGTTGTAAGCTGATAGCAAAGCTGGTTTTTTAAAACATGTTACTTTCGACGGTTTAGATTTGACCTCGAGCCAAAGGGAGAAAACCTACGATAAAAGATACAATCCAACCCAAAAGATAGTCTGGGAAAATTCCTTTGTTGCAAGGCAGAGGGGGGAAGTCAACATCTTTAATCTCTCAAGACAAACCAAAGAAACGTTACAGTCGACTTCACATCGCCTCAAGGTCTTTTTCCTGTCGGCTGCGTGTCAATCTCGGAGCCCAGACGAGTGAGTGATTCACCGGCTACAAAAGCAATTCCTTCTTCCTCTCCAACATTTTCTTCTGTCTCCTCTTGTTCCTGTTTACGCTCTCTCTCCCGTAGAGGATGTGTGATTCCTCATCGGTCTGCTCTGTCTCAGTGTCACACGTGGATCCACTCTCGATGGATCTCGTCTTGTCTGTCCGGCTCGTCTGAAAGTGAACATGTGCCGCTCTCGCTGAAGTCGCTGGGCCTGTCAGCGGCCTTTCAATAGGTTTGTTTGATGACAAAGCAAGGAGTGAACCCCTAAATGAGTCCTTTATGATCAGATGTTCTGGAGGAGAGCAGCATCTTAACACCAGAGACACTCAGTATGAAACGCAGCTGACGGCTAATTTGATTTGAGCCCACTTCACTTGCAGGCGTCACAGATTTTACAGCGGAAGTGGGAAACTCCAACACCAAAAGGCAGAGCACTGATTCAGCACATTGTGAGGACTTTGAAGGTCTTGTAAAAACTGTTTTATTGATGTTAAGGTAAACTTCAGTCTCCATGGCTATCGTCCCACACGGATGACTGCTTCTAGGAGTGTTGGTGAATTTGCTGAAATATCTTCTTTGATACAGGGGTTTCTGGATGGCCTGGGGGTTGAGTCGATCGTCCCATGTGCAGAGGCTGTGGTCCTCGTCGTGGCAGCCAAGGTTTTGGGTCAGGTCTTGGCCTTTTGCTACATGTCGCCCCCCACTCTCTCCTCCAAGCGTTTCCTGTTTCCCTTCAGCTGTCCTACCCATTAAAGGCAGAAATGGCCCAAAAATAATGTCAAGATCATTTCCAGTATTCCAGCTAGTCATGAAATCTGAACGCTGACAATCCTGACACGGTATCACGGAGATTTGTTGCTCAAGTTAACTTTCTTGATCAAGAAGGGATTGTTGTTGATTGTTGGCTGTTTATAGATAGATATATTTTTGTCAGATTACCACCAATGGAAGCCGGGACGTCTATTTGGCTGATTATTTTCTGCCGGCTTTTGCTCGTAATGTGGGCGGTTTTTCCTCCGTGATTGGTCAATACGACTTGGATTACAAATGTACAATGGAGCGGCTATGGCTCAGATGGCAGAGTCAAAGTTAGATGTTCTTCTTTATTAAACCCAGACTAAAATCTCATCCACTACCTTCCCAAACGGAGCCTTTTCACTGCAGTTTGAAAATGAAACCCTGTCAGTGTGCGTCAGAAACCGAAAGTGACAAAAAGTGTGTGTGTGTGTGTGGGGGGGGGGGTAACCATGAGCCAGTGTTTGACAGTGTTGGTACAGTACTCTATTTCTGTACACTCGTGAAAATATACATAATCCCTCTCCCAAATCCCCCTCGAGCCGTGTGTTTGAACATGTCAGATTTCCATGTAAACACCTCGGGTCTGAGAAGTGAAACAGTGGGATGAAGTTCCCTCTCACGGGGAGTATCTGCTGTCCTGGTTTGGCTGAAATGTGTTTCTTACACACCACCAACGTTTGCTCTCCGGTGTCACAACGTGTGAAGGATAAGAGCAGAGTGGCCGAGATGTTGGACGTTGTTTATGTGGAAGGAGATGCTTACAGACAAAGAGACGGGAAGTTTACGTAAAAGTTGATAAAAGGTTCAAATCCATGACGACCTGCCTGTTTTTATTTCGCTGCCTTTGTAACCCAGGTTTTGAAAAGTGTGTGTGTGTGTGTGTGTGTGTGTGTGTGTGTTTATATATATATATATATATAGCCTTAATGATTTAAAACATTGATTTATGGGAGGAACACTGATTGAAAACTGAGGCTGAAATAATCAAAATTAGATTTATAAATACGCTCATGCTTCTATATAGATTAAATTACAAACATTAAATCAGTGTTTTAAGTCACTTTCTAGTCAAAACAACATTTTATCTCTCAAATAGGATTTAGTTTTTGCTTCCATCGTCTCGTGTGATTGTTCGATTAATGTGTTTTGGGATTCGGGCGGTTGGTTCCACAAAAAAGAGACATCAAAAAACATCGGCTTTGCAGCTTTGCCTCTAGGAAATAAAAAAAAACACTCGTCTTATATTTGTGACAACAGAACAATGAATCGAGTGATGGAGTGGCTGCCCAAGAAACTGAGCGTGACTCAATCCCTTCTGTTCAGATTTCTCAAAGATTTCAAAAGAGATGTCTACATTATCTCGTCTTCGTGTCACTCTCTCTCTTTGTTCTCCTCCTTCCTCTTCTAATAGCTGCTGACAGGCAAAGAAAAACTGAGAAATGAGCACGCTCATGCTCTGCTCGGTCCTCAGAACAGTTAATAAATCAGGCTTTGATCACGACTTTAAAAGCGGCAGCATTTGGACAACTTTACGAGCATCAAATAGAGAAATATTGAGGAGCTGGTCTTCTTCCTGTGAGACGGCAAACAGGATCATCTCTTCTCACAATTCAGAGAAACCAGGATCTAAGAGAACTTTATAGATACCAGGTTGTTCACAGTCTCACAGCTGAGGAGATGTGGGGGAATATTCTTCCTCCGCTCCCTCCTCCTCTCCTCCTCCTCCGCTCCCTCCTCCTCCGCTCCCTCCTCCTCTCCCTCCTCCTCCTCTCCTTCCTCCTCTCCCTCCTCCGCTCCCTCCTCCTCTCCCTCCTCCTCCGCTCCCTCCTCCTCTCCCTCCTCCTCCGCTCCCTCCTCCTCTCCCTCCTCCTCATGTCTTCCTTTAACACATTATCTGACCTGAGGCTCCTCTACACATTTATCCGTCCCTCCTTCTGTCTCGACACATTCACAGATTCCTGAAGGTTCTTCACTTTAACGTCAGCGTGGGAGTGTCGTTTGTTTATTGGTTTAAATCCCACATACTATCATCTTTCATGTTGTGTGTGTGTGTGTGTGTGTGTGTGTTTCTTCTTACCCGTTATGTGTGACCAGACACTGTCGCAGCCCCAGCTTCCTGAAGATGTCCACCGTGATGTCCATGGGCGTGTGGTCGGTGACGGTGAAGGGGCTGAGGTCCACGATGCTCCGGAGCCGGAGCGGCGGCGGGCCGTCGGCGGGCTGCACCGGAGCGTGCTCAGTGAAGAGAAGCTGAGACGGGCTGACGATGCCCTCCTGACGCTTTCGGGCGTTGTCTGAACAGGAGTGAAGACGT